AGAAAATGTACAATCGCTTCTGGTGGTGTGGTTGTTCTTCTCAGACTAATGGCATACAATGGCTAAGATGGTCTAGGCTTGCTACACCAAAATCTAAAGGTGGGTTGGGGTTTAAACGTTTACATGATTTTAATATAGGCCTTTTAGCAAAACAAGGCTGGAGATTGCTCACTAATCAAACCTCTCTTGTGAGCCGGATTATGACAGCGATATATTTCCCACACACGAATTTTCTGGATGCAGCCATAGGTCACAACCCCAGTTTTATATAGCGAAGTATTCTTGCAAGTCAAAAGCTATTACGTGAAGTGGTGGTACGCAGGGTGGGGAACGGTGAAGACACTCTGGTGTGGGGTTGGCCATGGCTTGCAGATGTGGATAATCCGTCCTTAAATACATTATGTGTGGAGGAATTGAAAGAGGTTAAGGTTTGTAATCTGTTAATAGACGAAGGATGTTGGGATGAAGATTTGCTGCGTGACATTTTTCTGGAAAGTGATGTTGTTTGAATTTTACGTACTCCTATATCACCTCTGCATGCTGATATATGGTGCTGGAAGGGTGATATGAAAGGCTTATATAGCACCCGACATGGATATCAAATCCTCACCACCACTGCATTTGATCATCACGCCCCCATTGATTTCTCACAGTGGAACCGTCTATGGAGTATGAAGGTACCTCTTCATATTAAAAATTTCACTGGCGTTGTATGTGAAATGTACTTCCTGTACGTGCTAACCTTAAACTCAAACCGTGTTTGCTGGTGTGGATGTCTGCTTTGTAATTCAAATGAGGAGACTAAAATCCATTTATTCTGTGATTGTCCTATTGCTGCTCAGGTATGGGGATGTAGCAGTGTAGCGAATGGCCGATCATTGGCTATGTTTGTGGAGGATGTTTTTGGACTGCATAATGTCGAACAGGAGTTGCGTATGGCAGTAAGATTCTGGAGTCTATGGAAGGTACGGAACGATGCTCAGTGGAATTCGAAGGAATGGACTATCAACATGATTCATTGTCATGTTGAAAGCTTGGTAGCTTTGTGGCAGGAGTCATATGTTAATACAGTTGGTTCTATTTCTACAACAACTGCTACGTGAAGATCGCCATTGTCTGGGAGATTGAAATGTAATGTGGATGCTACAGGAAATTCTTAAACAAGGCAACTTAAGAATTTTATCATCTTTTTGTATCCCATAAGATTAAATCTTGAACCTTGTTGCTTTATATAAGGAAGATTTAAAGCTTATAGGAAAGTGATTACACGCCTGAAGATCTCGTTTCCTCACTTCCCTATCATCAAACACTCCTTTTTATCTAACAATCTATAAGCTTTAAATATCTATTTCTGAGGAAGGATGAGTTCTGGACTTCTGGACTTTGCAACCAACTTCCCTAAGTTGGAGCAGTTTGAAGGCGTGGGCTTCCGTAGGTGGCAGAAGAAGATGAAGTTCCTCCTTGCGGCTCTGAACGTGGCATATGTACTAAGTACCCCATAGCCAGAGGAACGGGAGGATGAGACTCTTGAGGCTACTCGCCGGAGACTCAAATGGGAGAATGATGACCTTGCTTGCCGCGACCATATTCTAAACGGTATGTCTGACACCCCCTTTGACATTTATCAATATGAGGAATCCTCAAAGGACCTCTGGGATGTACTTGAAGCAAAGTACATATCTGAGGATGCCTCCAGTAAGAAATTCCTGGTAAGTGAGTTCAATGATTATAAAATGGTGGACAATCGTCCGGTCATGGAACAATTCCATGAGATTGTCAGGATACTTGGGAAAATGAGGCAACATGATATGCATATGGATGATTCCATTGCCATAGCCAGTATCATTGATAAGTTGCCCCCTTCCTGGAAAAAGGTACAACGTACCTTAAAGCATAAAAAGGAAGCTCTTACTATGGAACAGTTGGGGGTTGACCTTCGGGTTGAGGAGGGGATCAGACTACAGGAAAGTAAGAATGCAGGCAGTGCAAAAGTCACCAGGGCTTCAGGTTCTGTCATCAAATATGTTGATGAAGGCAAATCAAGTGGGAACGGTAAAGGGAAAGGGAAGCCGGGAAAGGCCACAAATTCTTCAAAGTTTAAGAAGAAAGGAATAGGAAAAGGAAAGGCATCTGTATCATGCTGGGTGTGCAACGGTCCACACTTTAAAAAAGACTGTGAAATCTAGAAGAAAAGAAAGGCACAAATGGAAGGTAAAAATTATGGTGATCATGGCCAGGGAAGTGGCCAATGGAAACAAGGTAAAATAGTTAATCTTGTTTCTAAAAGTACTGAAAATTTCATTGCTATGATATCTGAAATTTGTGTCATGCAGACTGATGACTCGTGATGGGTTGACACTGGGGCAACCAGACATGTCTGCAAGGCTATAAATCTTTATAAGATTTATAAAAGCCTGAATGATAGTCCAAGCCTGTACATGGGAAATGATTCAATGGTGAAAGTCAAAGGCATTGGACAAGTTGAGTTGTTGCTTACTTCAGGAAAGAAGTTGACACTCACAGATGTGTATCATGCCCCAGATGTTAGAAAAAATTTAGTTTCTGGCATTGTATTAAACAAGTGTGGTTTTAAACTTGTTTTTGAAGCAGACAGGTTTATTTTATCCAAGGCCGGTATCTTTGTAGGCCAAGGGTTTCTGTCTAACAATATGTTTAAGTTGAATATTAATAATATTGTTGGTTCTGTGTATTCGGTTTGTACATCTTCATTATGGCATTTTCGTTTATGTCATGTTATAAACTATAAACGTGTATGTGAGATGGCTAAAGATGGATTAATTCCATCATTTGATCTGAATATGGAACAATGCAGTGCATGCATGTTAAATAAAATAACTAGGAGTCCTTTTCCTAGTATAAAAAGGAATTCAATTTTACTTGAATTAATTCACAGTGACTTGTGTGATTTTCATAGCATCTTTGGAAAATAAAAAATATATAGTCACATTCATTGATGACTATTCAAGACTCTGCTATGTGTACCTCCTGCATTCTAAGGATGAAGCCTTAGAAAAATTTAAAATATTTAAATTGGAGGTGGAATTGCAAACTAGTCAGTTAGTAAAAATATTACGTACTGACAGAGGTGGTGAATATTATGACCCATTATTTTTCCAATCTGTTGGTATCATTCATGAGACCACAGCTCCTTATACACCACAACAAAATGGTGTAGCAGAAAGGAAAAATAGAGTACTCAAAGAAATGGTAAACTGCATGTTATCAGTTTCCGGTCTGAGTGAAGGTTTCTGGGGAGAAGCCATGCTAACTGCATGTTATATTCTCAACATAGTTCCTAACAAAAGAAATAGGGTAACTCCCTATGAACTTTGGCACAAAAGAAAACCAAACTTGAATTATTTGAAAGTTTAGGGATGCAGGGCCGTGGTACGGTTGCCGGAACCTAAACGGAAGGCTTTGGGAGAAAAAGGCATAGACTGTATTTTTATAGGATATGCAAAACACAGCAAAGCATACCGGTTCTATGTTATAGAACGAAATGACTTTATTTCGGTTCATACCGTAATAGAGTCCCGGGATGCTATCTTTGATGAAAATCGTTTTTCATCAATAAATAGAACTAAGGATTTAATTCCTAGTTCTAGTTGGTCCAAAGTTGATGATAAAAAACATGATCATGCAGTTCCACAGGAACCTGAACTTAGAAAAAGTAAAAGAACAAGAAAGGAAAAAACATTTGGACCAGATTTCCAAATGTACTTGATAGAAGGATCAAGGGTGTCTACTGAGACTAAAAATCTATATTATTTTAATATAGAGGATGATCCTAAAACCTTTGAGGAAGCCATCAATTCTCAAGATGTTGCTTTCTGGAAAGAAGCAATAAATGATGAGATGGATTCTATAATGGGGAATAATACGTGGATTTTAACTAATCCACCGAATGGTTGTAAACCAATAGGCTGCAAGTGGATTTTCAAAAAGAAAATGAAAGTTGATGGTACCATTGATAAATTTAAAGCCAGACTTGTCGCACAGGGCTTTAAGCAGAAAGAAGGAGTTGACTTCTTTGACACTTATGCTCCAGTAGCAAGAATTGCTACTATTAAATTGTTAATTGCCATTTCGGCTATACACAATCTAGTGGTTCACCAAATGGATGTTAAGACTCCATTTTTAAATGGTGAATTGGAGGAGGAGGTTTACATGAAGCAACCAGAAGGTTTCGTGGTTGCAGGCCAAGAAAATAAAGTTTGCAAATTGATTAAGTCACTTTATTGCTTAACAAGCCCCCAAGCAATGGCATGATCGGGTTGATCAAGTGGTGCTAGCGAATGGGTACAGAATAAATCAGTCTGATAAATGCATCTACAGCAAATTTAATAACCAAGGACAAGGGGTTATTATTTGCTTATGTGTAGATGACATGTTGATTTTTGGTACTGATTTGGAAAAAGTTAAGGAAACTAAGGATTTTCTTAGTTCTAGTTTCTCCATGAAAGATTTAGGAGAAGCAGAAGTTATTCTTGGAGTAAGAATAATTAAATTTCAGGATGGTGTAAGTTTAACACAATCTCATTACATTGAGAAAGTGTTAAAAAGATTTAATCACTTTAGTGGTTCCCTAGTTTCTAATCCAATGGATCCTTCATTGAAGTTAATACCAAATGAAGGTGATCTGGTCATACAATTGGAGTATTCTAAAGTGATAGGATGCCTTATGTATGCAATGACAAGTACTCGGCCTGATATTGCTTTTTGCAGTAGGGAAACTGAGTAGATACACTAGTAATCCTAGTGTAGTACATTGGATGGCATTAAAAAAAATTTTAAAATATCTGAATAAAACCATTAATTATGGTTTAAAATATTCAAAAGATATTTCCATCCTTGAAGGATATTCTGATGCCAGTTGGATATCAAATCAGGAAGATTATTCCTCAACTAGTGGATGGGTATTTCTGCTTGGGGGAGGTGCTATCTCCTGGGCTTCTAAAAAGCAAAGTTGTATTTCAGACTCAACTATGGCATCTGAATTTATTGCATTGGCAGCAGCATGCAAAGAAGCTGATTGGCTAAGGAATTTAATTCTTGAAATTCCAGTTTGGCCAAAACCGATGTCACCTATTTTAGTACATTGTGACAGCGCTACTACACTGGCCAAAGCATATAACAGTGTTTATAATGGCAAGTCAAGACACATAGGCTTGCGACATAGCTAAGTGAAAGAGCTCTTATGTAATGGTGTTGTAGCACTAGACTTTGTAAGGTCCCGGTTCAATCTAGCGAATCCGTTTACAAAAGCCTTGGCAAGGGACATCGGAAGGGATAGGTTTGAAACCCGTTGATGGTCATGAGATGAAGGAAAGCTCAACTAACGCCTAAGTTATTACGTTAGGCCTTGAGTTCAATGTAGATGATTACTTCATTTATTGGCGGCAAGTACTATATTAAAAAGTATCCCTAAGGTAAGTACTTGGTCTGCATTGTAGTAGGGATGGGTTTTACTCTTAACTGATCTTTTGAAAAAATGCTTGGTGCAGGGGATGAAATAAAAGATCAGCCTATGTGAGCATGAAGTGTGGCCGCTTCAACAAGTTTGGGTTTGGCTTGGAAATACATATGAATGGATACGGACACAGGGCCTTTAATAGTGTCAAGTTATTTTTGTAGTAACTGTAAAGCTTGTGTGTATTATATCTATGTTTCTTCAAAGAGACTGCGTGATTCAAGGTTCGTCCATCACTGCAATCCGAATTAATGTAACGCATATAATACTATGTGAAAGTTCAATCTGTAAGACATTTTCATTTATGCATGAGTTTTGGATCTATCTTGGTACAGTATTAATTTTTTACTATATAAATGGAGGAGGAATGTTAGAGATTTATATAGTAATGAGAGTTAATGGTTCAGATGAACTACCATGAAAAGCTTAAATAATATTTGGAGTTGTGGAGTTATAAATATTATTTTAGTTTGGTAGAAAGTAAGTTGGGAAATATGAATGTTGTGTACAAATCATTATGCACAAATCGTTATTTAAACGATGGATTCAATTGTATCAAATTCGTTAATTTAACGAATCGAAAGATTCGGGTTTAACGAGTTGATGGCATGCATTTTATTTATTTCGTTGGGTTACACGAATCAATGCTTTCGTTGATTTTATAATAACATATCGTGTTGGCTTTAAACGATTTGATACGTTCTGTTCAATTCGTGCTTAACGAATGGAAACATTATGTTGCTTAACAAGTGGATACTTTCGTTTGAAAGTTTCGGCCTTGCCACATGCATGATTGAACTTAACGAAAGGAAGGATTCGGGTCACGTTATTGAATTACACGAATCCTTGGATTCACTTGGTTCAAGCATGCATGCGGCAAGGCCGAAACTTTCAAACGAAAGTATCCACTTGTTAAGCAGCATAATGTTTCCATTTGTTAAGAAGAAAAAGGGAAGAAATAGAGAAATAGTAGTAAAAACAATATCCCGAACAATTCTCCAAACACAGATTGTAATGATAGAAAAGACGAAATATATAATGAAACAAACTCCTAAGCTTCTGCTTGCTGTTCCTTCTCTAGCTCAAGAAAGCAAACAATGCCATTCCATCTTGATGCTAACCGCTTATCAATTCAAATGATGACGCTTAGCTTTGGACACTGAGGCACAACACTCTGAAGCATGCATGCTCCCTAAGAGAATACCAGATAAAACTTCAGTTCATGACAGACTAATTACATCAAGAAGGATTTCCTTACTTTATTTAATTCACCAACAACATCACTAATCTTCATTCTATCTGCTGGGAATTCAACAGAGCAAGCAACCCCAACTTCGATCATACAAACTAAGCACACATCAAATTTGTCATTCTCCTTGCAATATTTCCCTTTGTTCCTCATTTGTATTTGTTCAACTCTTTCTTGGAGAATTTTTGGATCTGCAATCTCCACTCCTCTCTCTGCTAAACCAGCCTTAGCATAGCTATGAAGGTTTAAGCCGTCTTTGAACAATTCATCAGTGGGTCTCCTCCCAATGAGCATTTTCAAGATTAGTATGCGAAAGCTATATACATCACCTGCTTTTGATGCCTTACTTCCAATACCATATTCTACTCCAAAATTTTTAAAAAGTGTCACCAAAAGGCAGATTTGATCGATGAGTGTCTGTATATATGCACTTAATAGTAGAATGATAAGTACTTTCTAGTCAATCATGTGTATTATAATGCTTAGCATACCTGGTGGAGCATAACCAATAGTTCCTCCAACTCCTCCTATAGAACTGTTGTTTTCTGAACAACTTTGAATCGGCCTTTGTTGTACAAATCTTGCCAATCCGAAATCACCAACATGTGCAGTCATGTTTTATCCAGAAGAACATTGCTTGGCTTGAGATCGCAATGGATTATTGCAAGTTCACAATCATTATGAAGATAATCTAGAGCGCAGGCCACGTCGATGAGAATGTTTATCCTCTCAACAAAACTTAACATCCTATTCTCTTCAACCCGAGAATTCTCTTTTGGAATAAAATGCAGCCAGTTCTCAAGATTCCCATTATCCATGTATTCATAAACTAATGCCTTGAAATCATTCCCTTGGAGATCATACCCTGAACATGCAGTTAATACCTTGACAAGATTGCGGTGTCTAGTGTTTTTCAACACTTCACACTCAGCTACAAAACTGCGGGATGCTCCTTGGTGCAGAAGATCAAGTACCTTGACTGCGAAAACCATTCCATCATGATCAAAACATCCTTTATATACAGCTCCAAAACCACCAACTCCTAGTAAATTTTCTTCGGAGAATCCATTAGTGGACTTGTAGAGGGAATGGTATGACACCCTTAAGGTGGAGTTTTTCTAACAAATGGGGCAAAGGCTTTTTTCTTTGTCTTCCAAACCACCTAAGGCAAAGAACAAACACTGCAAGAGTTATCCCAATAACACCAAGAATCAAAGGAATTACTACTTTCAAATAAACTTTTGATTTCTTCTTATCCGGCTTTGTAGTATTACTTTCAAATAAAGTTTCAGCCCAGTTATTCCCCCACAGAGCTTTCTATTTCCTACAATTGAAACAGAACCTGTGGCGTTGAAGATTCCTTTGGTTGGGACCGCCCCTTCCAAATCATTGTACGGAAGATTCAAATTCTGTAAAAATTTGAAGTCCTTGAAGAAAGCTGGGAATTGACCTGTTAAGTTGTTGTGAGAAAGTACTAAAAATTCCAGGCCCCTTAAATTTGACAAAGCTGATGGAATAGGGCCTTGAAGGTGGTTATTGGTAAGACTCAACATTTCCAAGTACACGCAGCTACCAAGCGTTGTTAGAATATGGCCTGACAATGAATTATAGGACAAATCCATGTAGTCTAGATTTATCAAATATCCAATCTCGTTTGGAATGGAACCTACCAAGTGGTTGTAAGATAGATCCAAACCAATTGACAAGGATGATAGTCCTAGAACTTCCTTAGGGATGTAACCACTAAGGTTGTTCTTATCAAGAGTTAACATCACCAGGTTTTGACATTTTCTAAGACTTGGAGGAATAACTCCCTGGAGGTAGTTTTCTTCTAAGCTGAGTATGAATAAACGGGTTAGATTTCCTAAAGAAGATGGGACTTTTCCAATAAATTTGTTTCTAGATAAACCCAATTCTTGTAGATTTCTCAAAACCCCTATCTCGAATGGGATTTCCCCACTAAATTTGTTGACAACCAAATATAGAGTCTCCAAGCCAATAAGATTAGAAATCCCCTTTGGAATATTTCCAGAAACTTCATTGCTGTGAAGGTGGAGATATACAAGGTTTCTTGAAATGTTAGTGATCAATGAAGAAAGGAAGCTCAGGTCATCAAACTTCCCCTCCCCAAGATGGTTATTTCCAACCAAAAACCTGTTGGGATTGAGCTTCCCTCCTATGTGGTAAATAGCTCATTTTGGACCAAGTCAATTTATATTCACTATAATATTTGATAGCTTCTTGAGGAAGTGTTTCTGAAAATTATTTAATTGCCATGGGAGAATGGGATATGGGTAGAAGTTGAAGGGTGGAAGTTGGAGAAAAGGAGTTTGGGTTGAAGTTGATGGGATGAGGTTTGAAGATAATTCCCCTTCACTTGCTTTCTTCCCCCTTTTCCTTCTTATGTCGGCAGAATCTATCTATAAAAGGGGGATGCTGTGCTCATTCTTCAATTGAGAGAATTCCACACAACTTCTACAAATTGCCACAATATTCTTCATACACATTCGGCAGGTTTGAAAGAGGAAGAAGAAAAATTAATTTTTCTTATCTCTTTATGTTAGGCAGTGCATCCATCTTCATCTTCTTTGGATACAAATCGCCGTGAGTTTGCCGAACTGCTTGGGTATTATCTTCATCAAATATTTTGAGGTCAGCTTGTATTTATTCCAGGTATATTTTGGGTAATCTCGTAATATTTGTATTCTGCTCACCTTGCTCGTGGTGGTTGAATATTTTGGGTACGAGATATTATTCCTTTAGCTTGTGAATTAGAATATATGTATTTGGCCTAGTGTTGGTGTATTTGATGATTTTGGATGTTTGGCTCGTGTGGTAGCCAGGAACTTTGTACCAAAGGTTTATAATAGCCCCTCGAAAAGCTCAACAATGCCGAAGAAGCCCGACGGTATCCGAAGCCCGGAATGGAACGACGCCGACTACACCGTGATCGGAGGTAAGGCCCTCGAACCCGACCAATTCTCTCCGGAGTTGGTCGATGTGCTTAATTTCCAAGGACTCTTGGATGCCTATCTCACGATCAAGGGGGATACGTACCCCGAATTGGTGAAGGACTTCTATCATCACTTGGTAGCTGTCAAAAGGGGTGATAAGTTGGAAATCACCGCCAAAGTCCGGGGCAAGGAGATAATACTCTCCGAAGGCCGCTTGGCCAAACCTTAAAACTGACCACCACGGGTGTGTCAGACTATGACCGGAAGGGATGGATAGGTACCCAAGGCACGGGGTATATGGATTACCTCGGGTACCTACTAGGGAAGGAAGAAGGCTTCACCTAGGCCACCCGACCTAACAGGAAATGGCTAACCGCTGAACAAAAGATACTAGTCATGATTGTAACTGATAGCTTGTCGCCTACAAACAACAAGAGCAAGGATGTGTGAAGCCTAGAGTGTACCTTTGCCTACTTCCTAAAGCACAAAATCAAGTTCAACCTATCGGCCCTTATGCTAAAACACATGGAGTTTTGCAAGACAAGCAACCGGCTTAGTATACCCTACGGGATGATCCTAAGTTGGATCGTGGAGAAAAAGGGGGTGGGCCTAAGCCACACCAAGATCAAACTCGTAAGCGGGATGGTTTTCAATGCCCAGAACCTCCGCCGCAACGACATCTACTACATCGAAGGGGGACAGGACAATACATCACTCTCGAGGAGGTTTGTCTTAAACCCAAAGTAGAACGAAGAAAATTGGTGGACAAACTAGACATCTCCAACAAGAAGCTAAGACAGGCAATGCAAGAGTGTGGGGGATAAGGGGAACAGGAAGAAAGAGAAGAGGATAGCGAACCTAACCCACCAGCACCCGCACAAGAAAGGGAAAATCTGGAAGGCCAAGATGGGGAGTCCATCAACGAACGCATCCTCACACAGCTCACCCGACAAAACCAAATCATGGATGAAGGGTTCTCATCCCTAATTCACGCAACGCGTGCATTAGATCGAAGGGTGGCAACGATCGAGGCCATGTTGGGCACGCACGGGGCATCTAGCTCAGGAGCAGGAAACCAAGGTAGACCCAAAGCCCTTCCAAACATCACCTCACCAATGTTCCACTCTACCCCAGCAACAAACGACACGTGGAGCCACATTTCCTAAAACTAGGAGGCCAAGGTACGTGACGTCCAGGGGTGAAATAATGGATCCACGCACTGGCTTCTGGACGAAGCCTCTTGTAAGGGGGTGAGAGTGTAACACCCCGTGTTACGGCCTCTAACCTGAACTAATTATTTAATTAACTACCCTAAAAAGAGAATTAATTTCCATTAATTAACTAGGAAAGGGTCCACCATAGACCATGGACCCTTATCCCCAAAACCAATCCCTTAATCCTATGAGAAATAGAATTAGCAAACCCCTACCATTTAGATTCTAATTAGGACTCTTAGATATATAGATAGGGGCATAGGAGGCATCTAGAAGACACACCACAAAAGATATCACCACACAAGAATTCCCAAGAATTCTCTTATCACCAACGTAGAAGAAATCAAGAAGAAGAGATCTTAGAGAAAGAACCTTAATAGCCAAGGAATCTAATTAAGGCTAAAAGGTAACCCATGTATCAACTAAACCTATTTTCTTTGCTATATTCTTCTTCTTTGACTTCTTCTCCATGCTTGTGTCTTGATAAATCGTTTATGATGATGATGATATGATCTTGCTGATTGATGGATGATTTTATGTGTTGATCTTGATAGTCATGATGATTATGAGAGAATCTTGATGATTGTGTGATATTCTTGATAAATCTTGATCTTCTTGATTTTAAAGATAAACTATGATTTTGATGATTTGAATATGATTAGAGCCCTAGGTTAAATTGGGGATTTTCGTATAGTGTTATTCTTGATATGATTGGGAGGGATTTCGCATGTTCGGGTGTCAATTATGTTTAGAAGTCATGTTAGGAGATGTTCAATAGGATTCTTGGTTTTGACCCATTATTTGACTACATGGTGTCGTCGCTTATGTTTTAAAGTGTCTAAACATGGTTTCGTGTTCCACGAAAGATCCCGGGACCAAAATATTGAAAAGGAATTAGTGGGGGATAGGTGGGGGTAGGGGGACCCGCCACCTATGCGCTGCCCAAAATGGCATCGCCGGCAGCGGGCAGAAGACTGTTCACCGGGCACCCGCTGCCGGCGGGTGGTCCTCCACCCACTGGATTCTTCCCACCTTGGGATTTTTGCTTCCCCGTTTGATGTTCCCCGACCCTCGTGGTGTCCCGACGGACTCCGTTTATTGTGCCTAAGTCTAGTTTGATGTTTCGTGTACCGTTCGTAGGATAAAAGAGTCTTGTGTATTGCATGATAGTTGAATTGGTACCCCGTTGACCTAGGAAAAAGATGCATGAACCCTTAGGATATTTCCTAGTACGTGGATGACCACACATAGGGTTCTTTATACATTTTCTCCCCTCCCGCAACGTGATAATGTGAATTGCATGTGCTTGCTACGTGATATGTGTGCATGACACACCAACAATGGTTGCGGTCAAGTTGGTTTACATAGGCTGCAGTCCACCGACTGAGCTCGTCAGCGGTGTGTAGGGCTGCATGGGTTGTAGTCCACCGACTGAACGCGTCAGCGGTGTGTAGGGCTACAGTCCACGAGGAAGGCCATAGTCCACCGACTGAGCTAGTCAGCGGTGTGTAGGGCTATAGTCGGCTGTGATCCACGGACTGAGCTCATCAGCGGTGTGTAGGATCGTAGTCCCCAATGAGGATCACAGTCCACCGACTGAACGCGTCTGCGGTGTGTAGGATTGTGGTCCGCCGTTGAGCTCGTCAACGGTCTAAACGGTTGGCTGCGGTCAATCCCTTCATGATGCGGTATGAGGTAGGGTGTTGCGGGGCCGTGTTAGCGCTATATGAGCTAACCCTCATGTATGGGCATGCGATTGGTCCCGTGGCGCCACCAAAGTATGCTTGTATGATGAAGATATTGATTGAAAGATGATTGATATAAAAGTAAACTGTGACCTTAGATATATATATATATATATATATATATATATATATATACATATATATATATATATATATATGATGTCTCTATATATTTGATTATAATTGTTGAATGTGCTTGATGGATTTAATTCACCCGGGGTAGCCCGAATTATTAAAACCGGATAAGAGAATATAAGAAATAAATAACGTAACGCAGATATATCGCAAGGTCGCGGGGACCGTAGGTCGCAGAGACTGTATATTGTATTAATTATCGCTAATAAACTACTACAAGACTTGATTAGGATAATAATGCTATAAGATAGTACTTTAGGAATATGTTGTGTCCCTGTTTAGGACAAGATGGAGGCTTTTTATATCAGCTCAAACCCCCAACCGCACCCCTAGAACCGGGGGTGGTTAGATCGGCCCGCTTTGACCGCGTCCCCTCCGGGACCGGGTCCAAAGCGGGCCAACTCGGCATGGCCGAGCTGGGCACGTGCCGAGCTCTGCCTAGCCGAGTCCACCATGGACCGGCTCTGTAGTGGCCGAGTCCATGGTGACGAGCTCGGGTGTACCGAGCACGTCCGTGGCCGGGCTCGGCCACGGCCCAAGGGATTGGACCGAGGCGCCTCGGGTCCGTCTCTCCGGGTCGGTTCGTTCCGGGTCCAATATATCCATCACGAGTACCCCACTCTCTTCGTTGTGATAAGTCGACAACGATAGAGAGTAGACACCTTGCGAGCCGACTCTTGCGCGATTGTCCCGAGTTGAAAATTGGCCGACCTTGTCCGAATAAAATCCTTGTTGTGGATAGAATTTTCCTTCCGAAAAATCCTCCTCAGATATGGTAGAATCCCTCTTAAAATTCCCATCAAATCTACTTCTCATCCCCATCACCTTTTCCTTTTCCCCGTACACCTTTTCAAATTTTGAATTTCTAGTCAACTCTTCCTCTTCCCCCTCTTTTCCACCATCCATCTCCTATTTAAACACCCTCAAGCTCCTCCTAGGGTCACAAGCTCTTCCCCGGGTTTCCAAGTTCCGTTTCGAGTTCGGTTAGTTGTCTCTTTTTCCCCTTTTCCTTCTTAGCTTCAAGTTGCACGTGATTTGTGTTTTTTTTTTTTTTTTTTTTTTTTTCTTTTTTTTTGTTTCGGCCGAGAGCTCGGCCGAGAGAGCCCTTGGTGCGACTTTCTACTTCCTTGTCTCCTTTGCATGTCTATTAGCATTGATTTTGGTGTTCTAGGGCGACCCCCACTCCCCGAACTCTCCGAATAGCTCGATCCCACTTGAGGACGAGCTTCCACTTCTCCCCGAGGGGTCCGAGGACCTCGGGGACGACTCGGCCACTACGTGCCGGAACGAGGTCGAGGTCGGGTATACCGACCTCGACCCGCACATTCCGAGCACCACTATGGCCCGCCTCTCCTCCTACCAACATGAGAAGGCCCTTCAAATAGTGGGGCCGGGCATCGAGGTGTTGGCGCCCAAGCCGGATGATAATGTGACCGCCCCGCCCCGAGCCGGCTTCTTTGGGGTGCACGTCGCTTCTCTTTCATACGGGTTTTGTTTCCCACTCCACCCCTTTGTCGTGTCTCTCCTCAATTACTACGAGATTGCCCCGGGGCAACTAGTCCCGAACTCGCATTGTGTACTCTTGGCTTTCCTCCTTAGGTGTAGAGAGGTGCGGGTCATGCCTTATCTCGATCTCCTCAATTATCTTTTCCAAGCCACCAACTCCACGGTCGTTCTAGTAGGGGGTGGGTGTCCTTTTCGGTTCGTTCCCGTATGAAAACTTTCCAAGATCTCAACTCCTCCAACCATAAATGGAAACCCAAGTTTATGTATGTCTCCGTGGGCCCTAACTTTCCCTTCATATCACCTTGGAGTCCCCGGTTCCGGAAGCATGTTACCCCTAAGAAAGGAGCCGCTTTGCTAGAAGACGTCCATATATTCCGACGGGGTGGCCCGATCATATACATCACCCCAATGGTGACAGAGGAGAGCCTGGCGGGTTTGGGCTTTGCCCGGGGTGCCCCGCCTCCTCCACCCTTGCCGGGTCCCCCCGCGGATGAGCCCGAGCCCATTGCCGTGGACTCGCCTTCCGGAGGTGAGAACTCGGATGACATGGTCTTCGAGTTTTTGCCACGGGATCGGGACGAGTCCCCCAGCTCGGCCTCGACGGGGCCGACTTCTACACCCGAGGTCCTGCTTGAGTCCGACCTTGTGTTTTGATCATGTACTTTGATTGGTGATCAGCAGGAGACGTTCCCTTGATGGCTGATCGGGTCGCGAGATACCGAGAGAGGAAGCGCCATAGAGAGGCCGAGGGGGGTGAGGCCGCGATGCGTCCTCGTTCTACTGGGCCGGCGATCCCACCTCGTCCTATTGGGCCGGACCGCCCCCCGCCCCGCCGCGAGCACCCCTTGTTCCTCCACGCCGGTCGGGACCCACCGATCTCTCGCGCCTCCGCATGTTGCTCCAGGACTGGGTTTCTTCGCGAGGACCGTCTGTCGCTGATGAGCGGGCCATGTATAATCATTTGATAGAGGTGAGGATGTTTTGTGTTCCACTCAAAGAGGGGTAGTCTTGTGTCTCTCCTCTAGGAGATGAGACTTTATGATTCACATGTTATCTCTAACTTGTATTTTCTCTTTTTGGGTTGACAGGCTGTTCTCCACTGCACTTCCCTTTGCGGGAGCCATGAGGCGCTCCAGGCGCGCAATGGGGCTTTTGAGGGACGGGTCACTGAGCTCACCCAATTGTTGGACCAAGAGAGGGAAGAGTGCCGAGTTGATGTGAACAGGCTGAGAGAGGAGATGGGCCACGTGGTGCCGGCTTACCAGAGGTCCCACCAGTTCACTTTGGATGCTATGTCATATGCTCGGGGCCGGCGGCAGGAGTTCATAGACGAGTGGCTTGCCTCGGAGGAGGGGAAGAGTCGCTTTGAGGACGAGGGGATGGCTGCTTATGATGTGGGCGAGTACACGATGCAGCAGGATATATATGCCATCCTGAAGCGACAGGACCCCACTTTTGATCCTGTGGCGAGGGGCTTGCCAGGTTATCTTCCCCTGCCCTAGGGCTCTGCAGCCGGTTCTTCTGCTGGGGCGGGTACTTCTACCCGCGTAGTTGGTGGAGGTGTGGCTTCTTCTGCTGAGGCGGGTACTTCTACCCGTGCTGTTGATGGAGGTGTGGCTTCCAGCTGTGCGGATGTATTGGGGAGGTTGGATGCCTTGCTCGTGAGCCAGGCCCCTCTTGCGGGTTCCGTTTCTCCCTCCACGGAGAACATCCATGCTAGCTTGAACACTTATGTCGAGGGGATGGCTGCTCCCGAGGTTGCCCGTGACGCCCCCGAATTGAATGGCTAGTCTGGAGTTGCTTTCTTTTTGTGGCCCTTAGAGCCAAAAACTGATTTCTTTTTGTAGCACTTAGAGCCAAAAACTTATGTTTGTTTTGGCTTCACATGGAGCTCGTTTATTTTGTCAGAACTTATTGTCCGTGTGAACTCCGTGTTTCCTTGATTTGATATTGCACCTTCTATCTTGTATGGACTTCTTCTTGTTTTTAAATTTGTTAGAACATGCCTTGGTTGTCTTTATGCTTTCACAAAGGAAAAACCTAAAGAGAGAACACCTTGGTCGGCCGGGGCCTAAACCCAGGGCCCGGGGCCAATGTGGGACTCGGCCGCGGTCGAGCCGCTGGGTCTCGGCCGTGGTCGAGTTTCCAGGACTCAGCTATGGCCGAGCTGCTGGGTCTCGGCCGTGGCCGAGTCGTTGGTCCTCGGCCTTGGCCGAGTTAAAAAAAAATTTAAAAAAATTTTTTTTTATAGCCGTTCGAACCGAGTTCTTTGAAAACTAGGCCGGGGGCTCTTCCGTCGGCGTTGGTACGTGAGGTCGGATGTCGTACCCCCTTAGGGTATGTTAGCCGCGATAACCTAGTCTTTGCTGGACTAGACCATGGGTTTCCTCCGTCGGGGTTGGTACGCGAGGTCGGGCATCGTGCCCCCTTAGGGTATGTTAGCCGCGATAGTATAATCCTCGTTAGACTAGACCATGGGGCTCCTCCGTCGGGGTTGGTTCGCGAGGTCGGTCCTCGTGCCCCCTTAGGGTATGACTGGGGAAGTCGGGTAAGAAGTCGCCTCCCTTATTGACGAGTGAACAAGAAAAAGTGTTTCTTAATACATAACTTTATTATGCTCATAGCAACGGAGGGGGCTTGCCGCCTCCTATGACATTATTTGGAAAAAATGAGTGGAGATGGCCCTAACTCCTGATGGTCGAGCCAGTTCATGGTGGATCACTGGTAATACCTCAACAAATGCTCCGAGTTCCAAACTCTAAGTATCACTTCCCTCTGGGGTTCTTGAGTTTGTAGCTGCCGGGACGGACCACCGCTGCCACAATGTAGGGGCCCTCCCAGTTCGCCGCGAACTTCCCTCCGGCTAGGGGTTGGCTTGTTTCTCTCCTTCTGAGTACATAGTCCCCTGCTTGGAAATAACGGGGCTGCACTCGTCTGTCGTGGTAGGACTTAGTTTGCCTCTGGTAGTTTTCAGCTCGGATAGAAGTTGCCTCTCTTCTATCATCCACCATGTGGAGGTCGGCCCTATGGTGTTCCTCGTTGGTGTCGGGGTCATATTCTTCTTCTCGCCGGGAAGGTATGACCGCCTCTGCGGGGGCTCGGGTTTCAAAACCGTAAGCTAAAGAAAACGGTGTCTCCCCGGTGGCCCTTCTGGGGTGGTGCGGTAGTGTAACACCCCAGATTTTCAAGACATTTTAAGCTTATATGACAAAGGTAATATCTCATTACATCCCAAAGTATATCATAAGTGTACGGGGTGCTATGCCACACCTGCGCTAGCGAACCCAGGTGCACAGGCTGTCTAACTAAAATCCATTGGAACACAATGCATAATATGGCGCGCAGGCCGAAAGGGAAACTAATCTACTTCTACGCTCCAGTTCTAGCGCGCTCCAGTGTTCTAATCCTCTGTGCCTGAAAGCCAAATATCTCTGTTCAGCGAGAGATGCCGGTAACCCACTCCAACGCGTTGAAATACAATACATATAGAGATATATATAAATATACGAAAACCATTTTGAGCATGAAGATATATCCTACGAACTCTATCTTTAAAACCGGGAATGACTCGGCAGATAAGGCCAGACACAAGCAACAGTTATAACGAGCAGATGCAGTTCACAATAGATAAGGCAGATAAGGCAAAGCATAAACAATAGTCACAACCCAACATAAACAATCCCCAATATAAATCCCATAGTCACATTCCCCCAAGACACTCATAATCACAACTCATCCATATCACAACGCATAGAACACTTTGTTGGCGACACAGGACCAATCGCATGCCCATACATGAGGGTCAGCGCATATAGCTCTGACACGGCCCCGCAGCACCCTGCCCCGTATCGCAACACGGAGGGGTCGATCGCAACCGACCGATGAACCGCAACTCATCATAGTGTTTGATCGCAACCAAACAGTGGACCACAACCCAAGAGAATGTCATCGGACCGCAGCCAGGAAAGAGGACGAACCGCAGCTCGTATAGAAACGTTTGATCGCAACCAAATGGTGGACCGCAGCCCAAGAGTATCAATCTGACCGCAGCCAGCTTCTGAACCGCAGCTCAGGATAACCAATCCGATCGCAACCGAATTGGGGTAACACACACACATAACACATAGCAAGCACATGCAACCCATATTACACGTTGGGAGGGGGGAGAAAGCGCATAACAAAACCTTTGCGTGATCCATCACATACTAAGAATAGTCCTAAGGGGTTCATACTTCTTCCACCTAGGTCAACGGGGTACCAATTCAACTAGCATGCAATATAATAGACTCATAAACCTACGAGTGGTACCCGAAACATCAAACTAGACATAGGCACGATAAACGAGGTCCGTTGGGACACCACGGGGAACGGGGAAATATCAAACGGGGGAGCCGGGGTCCCAATGTGGGATGTTTTCCAGTGGGTAGCCGGTGGGTGGGGGCCACCCGCCGGATTTTACTGTCCTGGGCAGCGGGTTACCGGTGGGCAGCTGCCCGCCCGCCGGCCACCCGCTGCCGGGCGGTGTTTCACGGCTGTGGGTAGGTGGCGGGTCCCCTACCCCCCACCTACCCCCCAATGACTCTTTTCACACACTTTACGCCCCGGGAACCGTTGTGGAACCAGAAACCATGCTTAGACACTTTACAACGCAATTAACGACAGCACGCAGACAATTAACGAATCAAATACAAGGAACGAACGGCACATAACTTATCATGCTTTTCTAAATATAATCAACACCCAATCATGCGATTTCCCCACCCGATAATCCAAGAATAATATCATACGATACAACCTAGGGTTTTAATCACTTTTATACCAACAACAAT